CCCAGAGTTTTTTAAGGGAAACAAATTATATCTAGAAAATCTATAATTTAATTCTTCAAAGAGATGTTAGGTTAGTCACAGGGGGGTTCTCAGTAAGCAAATTAAAGTGGATATAGGAGGCCCAGCTAGAACTCTCAGTATGCACATTCATAGGCTTTTTGGGAAGGCTCTCCAGTTCACTGGTAATAAGGATAAATGCATACATACCACAGATAAGGAGGGATGCATTATACAAGCTTATCCAATTTGTGACAGATCCAGTACTGAAGCAATGTTATATAAAGTGGTTCTTCTGTGTAGTAATATCAGGTTGTCTAAGGAACACTGGCAACCACGCCTCTTCTTTTAAAAATTTAAGTGTCATTGGTCACTGTCCATTTAATACTGCCTGAGTTAAACTTCAAACTGAAAATGATCTGTTAAGCTGTAGAATTGCCAATTTTGCATGAAAGTTGCCTCCCTGTGAGATGGTAGAAGGTTTTTCTAAGGTATAACTTCTAAGAAAGATGTCTGCAGCTGATGTTTTCCAATATTCTTGGATGTTAAAATGCCTTCAGCCAGAATGGGTACTTTCTACTTAAGCACAAGGAATCTCACAGCTGTCCCAGCATCTCATCATGTCTCAAATCTCTGACATTTAGCATTGGAAATATTCAAAAGTTTGTGTCATCAGTTTTTCTTTATGCCACCTATAAACTGGATCACCTTAACATTCTAATCTTAGAAGGCATTTCACCTTCTTAGAATATAAGATATAATACTTGAAATATTACTCAGGGTCTAAGAGGAACCCATTGCTAAGGTATCTTGTAAAAACACTTATCTTTCAAAGTTGGAGACAGAGAATTATTATAATGCCTGAAGTCATGATGTCCAATGATAAGAGACAAGTAACAAGCAGATTTCTCTGTCCCATCTTTCTGTTTCCAGCTCCTACCATGTAACAGGTATGTGCATAATGCTGTGTTGGTAGGACTGTTAGAGAAAGAGATTTCTCAGTGTCTATATACATCTAGGTCAAAAATAGCATAGTCCAGAAATGAGCTTAAGGCTTAAACACAGTACTTAAATTTCCCAAGTTAGCATACATTGGTGAATCTCTGTCTCCTCTCAAATTCACTTAAACTAGTTGCTCTGTTACAACTTCCTACATGTTTAGGGCTAAGGGAATACCTCTGACATAGACTTCTTTTAGTCATAATACCTTTCATGAAATAATGCCTTAGAGCCTGGTCTTCCTTGTGTTTAGAGCTAAACACTGGTCTTTGGAGCCCAGCTGATAAAAGTAGTTTTAAAGCCATTGGACATTGTTATCATACAGGAATTAGAGTTCTTCCCTAACTATGTCTTCCCCTTGGAATATTTTCCCCTAAATACCTGAAGAGCTTATTTTGGCATTTTCTTCATGGCACTTCCCAATCTGGCTGTTCAAGTGAGGCTTCTCTGAAGATCCTGTGTAGCTCAGCTTACAGAGATACTTTATCTCAGCAATCAGAAGCCTCTGTTTTACCCTGCTCTAATGTTTTATTTCCTACAACTCATATACAAAATATCTAGTTTATTTTATTTTATTTGTCTTCACTAAACTGCAAAGCCTAAGATTGGGAGCAAACTATCTATTTTGTTCTCTGAGGTGTCACAGGCATTGTAACAATAGTACTTGGAACATACTAACTAACAGGTCAATGTATATTTACTGAATGAATGAACATGCCTCCTACAGCAAAGGTGGTGGGTGGGTGGAAGCCAAACTATATTCTAAAAGAGATTAAAAAACAAAACAAAACACTATGAAGAGTCAAGGAAATGTACAGTTTCCTGCTAGGGAGAAATATGGTACACTAAATTGCTTGATGCATATGAGGTCTCATGAATTCCTGGAAAGAAGAAATAGGCATTTTTATTCTCTAATAGGCTTCTGCTTCCATTTCCCTTGTTCACAATGAATTTTAATCACCAGTGTCTAAGTAAAAACAAAAATTAGTACACAGCCTTTATGCTTTCCTCTGGTAGAGTTCACAGTTCAGATTCCAGGCAAAAAAGAATATCATCCAAAGTTAATTTGTTATTATTTATGCAATCTCCTTTCCACCACCATGTGGAATCATTACTTAACACATCATTCTCCCTAGGAATCACTGGTTGCAATTCAATACATTTTCTAAATCTCCTGTTTCTTACAAATTCACAATTTGAGATGGTTTTTTAAAAAAATGTCAAACAATAACAACATTTGAAACAGCAGTACAAGAGGAACAGGTTTACCTCCAGTGAAATTTGTCAGACTTTATTTTCAGATGCAACAATTAAGTGAAATGAAGGTCATCACAGAAATTCATCTTAAGTATATATTAAATTTTTACCTTTTTTAGATGGGGGGGTATGATATATATAAGTAGTGTGTCCCTTCACTATAATTTCCATGAGAGTGTGTACAATGGAAAGAACATTATTAAGTTAGGAGACAAATGAACATCAATTAGAATGTGAACAATACCAGCTGACATCACTATACCCTCAAAAAAGTTCTATTTGGATGATAAACTATGTTATTCTAAATTATTTTTGTAAAATATCTGATGTAGTCACTAGTCAAAGCTAATCATTATTTATTATTTAACAAATGTAGCTACAACTCAAATTTCTCAGCATTATCAGGCAGGCATCATTCTGACTTCTAAAGAAAATTGCAGTAGTTATTATCTCAGAAAATAGAAGGAAAAATGGAATAATGTCTATAAACCAATAAATTGTTATAAATACCAGTGAGAGGTCACTAGTCATTCCATGAAAGGAAAGATGGTATAGCACCACTATCATTTTCATTAATTCTATTATATTCCTCAAAGACTGCCATTGGCAATATGAAGTTTGCTCTATAGGAGGAAAAATAATTGTCAAATTAACAGGAGAAATAAATTTCTTCACCACTAAATTATGCCTGTTCTCTTCCAAGAAAAGTAGGGATTCTCTTTCTGGACAAAATGAAAACACCAATAAATAGCAACATAATGATCAACATTCCTCCAGGGACTCATGCTGAACACTGGGTCTGGTCTATATACAGTCTGTAGCTTTTCAACCTTTAACATAGGCAGACAGTGTATTAGACAGATTTTATTGAAAAGGAAAATGTCTTAATGACGTTGCATGATTTGTCCACAGACACAGCAAGTTTGTGGCAAGGCAATTTTAATACAGGTCTACCCAAGTTTAAAAAGGCCATAGATCCCAGATCTTATGCACATCATTTCTAATCTATACTTTGTCCCCAGATTGGTGTTTAAATATCGGGACACTTGCCCAACACTAGGGATATTCTGTGAGTCAATAGGCTGATTAACAAAAAATCACAAATGACGTTTACCTTTTCCACTTTTGAGATAAAGAATTACAGAACTATAAGGGGTCATCTTGGTAAAAATAAATTACCTCAATAAAAATAAATTCCAAAAGCTATCAAAGAAAAAAAGTAATTGTCGGCCATAGTAATTAGAAATTATAAGCATACATTCGTGTATCAATTCTGTTTATAGTTCTGTTTATAAATATACTTTCAGGGCCATAAACTAGCATCATCATCATGAATTAATAAAATGGACAATCTATAAGAGGGTTGTGAGGAAAATAAATGAACTATCAGCATTTTGGGGATTATGTTGAAGCTACGCTGTTGTCAATGATGAGGCAGAGAAAATAAATGGCTCATAACCTGCAAAAGGAACTTGGCCCTCAGTGGTCTCCCACCTCTAACCCCACAGACACATCTTTTCAGGTTTAAAGAATAATCAGGTATTTACAACTGTTGAGTTTGTAACCCTCCACTTTTCATGCATTCTCATATGATTAATATCAAAATGAAGTTACTTTTGAATCATTTTATTTTTCACTGGGAAATCATTGTTAAATCTTAATGATTGTAAGATAATATAGAAGAGGTTCTATGTGAGCTAGCTACCTTTAACAGCTGTGGCTCACAGCAGCCATCTAGGCAGAATTAGCATAAATACATTTCCAAGAAACTTCTGAAGAGCTAGTTTCGACTATCCAAAATGATTTCTATCACTATCAGACTGGGTCATCATGAATCAGCATCCCAAAAGAAAATACACTGGAGGCTGTTGCAAAAGCTATACAGTAGTGTAAAATATAAACAATATCAAGTTGTTAAGTATAAATTCTTTTTTTTTTTTAAGATTTATTTATGTCTGCATACAGAATTGGGGTATAGGCCAGAGGTACTGGTTGTGAGAGGATTCACCAGAGACAGAGTGGGGAGCAGAACAGGCCGACTAATGAAGTACACTGCTGAGCAGAGCAGCAGACGGGTCAGGAGAGGTCTGCAGCACCATGTGGGTCACCTCCAGGGCTAGGGATGGAACTCATGCTGAAATGACTTTAGCTTCTTACTGCTGTGTTTTAACCCACTGCACCACCAGGGAGGGCCCAAGTATAACTTCTAATCCATGACATTCTAACCCTTTTCCGGACATTCTCTGCCCCTAATAAACCAAGCCACAAGATGGCAGCAAGATTTGAAAAGAGACCTGCAATAAATCAGGATGATGCTACTCATTAATTATGTAACCTCAGGTTGTATTTAGTTTCTCTGATAATTAATGGTCTTATTTGCACAATGAGGATATCATGAATAGCCTTAGGATGCTGTAAGAATCAGGGGTGCATGTAAAGATAACTAATGGTTGTTGAGCGTGTGTTATATGTCAGGGTTGCATGAAGTAAATACTCCTACTAGATAATCAAACTAAGGTACAATATATACATAAGGCACTTGCCAAAATACAGAGTCACTGAGCAAGGATTTGAATGTGGGGACTCAACACCAAACGTCATGTTCTTCATGACCCTGCTACAGTGCCTACTTTGGAATTCTGTAATGAGTGGACTCAATAAATATAAATTGCAACTACTGCTAAAATGGTGACATCAAATGAGGTTATATGGAACACTAAATACCCACACTAAAGAATGCACAGTACCTGGGACATGACTGCAAAGATTCTTTGACAATGCAGGCCTCCTTCTCCAAAAGTTCAGGGCAATCCTTTCCACCACCAAGAGCAATATGCTTCACATTCCGGCTTCTGCTCCTAAATCCTGGTGAGAGACTTCCTGAACGACACGTCTTAGAGCAGGGGCTCCAGGAAGACCACTCGGTGGTTTCACAGTCCTTGGGCATGATGCAGGACTGAACAGTTAAGGGGAAGGAGTCTGGCATGCAAAGGCTAAAGAAACAGAAGCAGAAAACAGTAGGTCATAGATTAAATGAGTGTAACCAACTTTATGAAGTGTCTATGATGAAAAAAATATCACAACCTGGCATAAAGTTTTCAAATAGGAATGAAAAAAAATGTTAGCAGCATCATGATAAAATATTGATGAACCAACATTTTTTTGAGAATGACTGCTTACACAGGCTCAGTTCTGAAATGGAAGTTAATTCACTGTAGCAGTGAATTCAGTAAGGTGAGGCTACCTTAGAAATAATGAAGATTGCTCTAGCTTACTTTCAACAAAGATATATTTGTTGGCTGGTTTTCAGGACTCACACCCTGAGCTGCACTTCACAAACACTTTTTTTTTTAATATTTTATTTATTTATGCATACAGAAATAGGGTACAGGCCAGAGGTGCAGGGGTGGCAAAAGGATTTACCAGAGACAGAATGGAGAGCAGAACAGGCAGATCAATAAAGTACACTGCTGAGGGGAGCAGGGGTGTGTCAGGAGAGGCCTGCCGCACCAGGTGGTCACCTTCAGGGCTGGGATAGAACTTGCAGTGAAGCAGCCACAGCTCATCTTAGCTTCCCAGCACAGAGCTCAAACTGGCCATGCCACTAGGGAGGGTCCTACAAGCACTTTTAAACAACTGCATGAGTTTACATGTAATTATCTACATTTAGAGATGAGATAGCTTACTCAGGAAGATTAAATTTTTTTGTAAGGCCGAAGACAAGTGTAAGCTTTATGGCATTCATCTGTCCATTCTTTTAAATCCTGGGCTATTAAATAATAAAATAATGTTATCTATGTTTCCAAAGGCTGGCATGCTATGAGGATCAATTTCCTCAGCTGCAAAACTGTGGTACTATCAAATACTAATGTTTGAATTGGGAAACAGATAAAAAAGCATAATGTAATACTGGGATGAACTTCTTAATATACATGCAACTATAATAATGAAAACAAACACTGGGAAGCCGGGGGTCAGGGGGGTGTCGAAGAGAGAAAGACACCTGAGCTGTATATGGTTTCACTCATAGCAGGAGTGTGAAAGATCATAGGGGGAAAAATTGTGACAAAGTGAAAATGAAAACAATAAACAACTATAAACCAGAGACATTCTACAGGGTGATGAGGGGAATAGGATCAAAAATGGGACATGAAGAGTGCACGGGACTATGGTGATGGCACATGGGTGAAGGGGTAGTGGGAAGTCCCTGGGGGTTACAACCAAGATGAAAAAATGCACAAAATGAAGAATGATATTAAATAGAGAAATAAATAGAGAAATAAATGAAATATTTAATGGAGCTTCTTGAGTACAGAAAGTAGTATATTTTAAACTAAATTATGTTTATTGAGGTAATGTTGGTTTACAACATTGTATATGTTTTAGGAATAGAAGTTCCCATCTCTTCAAATATGTTATCATACCACCCTCAAGAACAAAGCACCCATAGTTCTCCACCTTAGTCCACTGAACCTTCCCCATCTCTGCCCCCTGCCCCCCACCCTGCCCCTGATAGCCTCATTTAGGAAATGAGACCATTTTAACTTAAGGAAATAGAATATTCAAGGCCCTGATATAAAATAATATGGGGATGGGAACCAGTGGTATGCTAGAACTAAATATACTAGAACTACTAAATTTCCTGGAATTGTATAAGTCACTTGACTTTATGTAATTGGCTTAAAATCGGTCACTGTGGAACTCTTTACACACCAGAACTCAGCAAATACTACAAACCAAGCCCACCACCATATCAGGGTCCCAAACTTACTCTTCCTGAAGCACCATTGGTTAAACTTTTATAAGCATGCTGATGGGATAATATAAAAGGCAATTTATCAGCTGTCTTATGTTTTTCAATTTATGAAGTGTAATTTACTAAACAGATACCTGGATATGCAGGTGCTTCAAAAGTAGGTCTGAAAAAACTTTGTATCTTTGGCTAAGAAATCTGAATTTAATTGGGCCTTAATTTCATTCAGGTGGAGAAAAATCACTGTGACCCATACAGTGGGTCATGGGATGATAATGTTTCAAGTAATAACTGGCGTTCTTTTTTCCATATTACTATTACTCCATATTCAATCAAAAGTTTCTATATCTTGGGGGATAAAGTATAATTTTGACAGAAGTATGAATCAAAGAGCCAATGTTCAAATACTGACTTTCAAGACTGGGTCTATGAAACATGGCATAATAATGGACTATAAATAGGAATTTACAGTGGTGCCTCTGTATGTGTTTAAAGAGAGACAGAAGTGTTGAAATGTGTCTAAGTTTCTGACTTGAGATAATATGTAGATCAGGGAGTCACCAATAGAGAAATGGATTACAGAAAGCAGCCTGCAGGCAGAATAAAATATGCTCATATTTGGCCATATTGAAGAGTAAACTACAGTGAGATTTTCATATTGATATACTTCATAAAAGAAGTAAGACTTAGTTTATCTTCCCAAAGTCACAAATGATATAAGAAAATCCTTTGGTGCAAGATTTTATTTTAAAATCTACTCAGATCATATCATTCTCTTCAAAGTGGAAAAAGCCAAAGCCAATATATTCCTCATTACCATTACTCACTCCAGTGTGACATTTTGGGTCTTGGCATCAATACACACTAGGATAGTAGAAGGAGCACTTAATTGCAAATACACCATTTAATATAGAATGCATATTGTGCTTGAAGAGGTAAGAGAAAGGGTTGCCTCTTTCTATTGTATGACACAGAGAAAGCTTCTAGACAAAGGTGTTGGCTTTTTAGAAACTGTTACTGGTTGAGCTCTGCTCCCACTAAAAGCATGAGTCTTAGCATCCAGAGCCTCAGAATGTGTTTTATATTTGAAGAGTGTTTATGAAGGCAAATTAAAAACGGGATCATTATGGTGGAACCTAATCCCGTGTAGCTGATGTCTTTAAAAAAAAAAAAGGAGATGAGGACATAGACTTATATCAAACAAGCCCATCTGCCGAAATAAAAGAACCATCTGGAATCCAAAGGGAGACCATAGAAGAAACTAACTGCTGACCCTTGGATCATGGAATTCCAGCTTTCACAACTGTGAAAAAAATCAATTTTTGTTCTTTAAGCCAACAAGTCTATGGAACTTCGTCATGGCAGCCCTAGCAAATTAAAACAAATTTAATGGCATTTTTCAACTTGTGTATATTTTTGGAAAAAACAAATTGCTTTCAAGATAGACTTTCTTTTTCCTTTAGTAAGGTCCCATGCTATGTTAAAACGGCATATAACCTCTTTCCATTTAGTAGTGTTCACTTTTCTTGTTCCTCTTCCCTGAAACTGAATTTTCCTACTGGGCCAATAGAACCAATAGTAAGAGTCAAGCAATACAAGAAGTTGCACAGAGTTGCTGACATAATCAAGGGCTTTTATAGTTTGAAAAGAGCTCTACTTCTTTGAAGGAGGAAGGACACATATTACATATTTACTTGTATTACATATCTACTTATTGTTAACATCCCTTTTGCTAACCCAACATTTTGGCTAAATATAATAATAAAAGTTGCCACATAGTTGCCTGCTTTAGTTTGATCAGTGAAAGTCCATTTTACTTGGGTTTTTGGACATGCACTAAGTGATAAATGAAAAATATCTGTAAGCTGAATTTTTTTAAATCACAATATATAGTGTATCCTCTGTCTCCTTATTGTTTAGCTTCATTACCTGAAGGGAAAAAATAACAATAAAATATCATCTAACACTGTCCCCCATCCCCCCAAGCATTGTGGTGTCCAAGAGAGTAAGGAGAATCACCTCACTAAAGCTGCAACAGAGATAAGTGTCTTCACTCAAAAGTGAGAATTAGTCTTTTCATAAAAGGTGACGTGCCTTTAAAGAAAAAAAAAAAAAAAAAGATGCAACAGTAATTACAACTCCTTGACATTCATTTAAAGAGTTGTCTTTTGTAAATTACTTCACAAGTATTCCAGTGAAGGAAATCTTTGGAACTAAAAATTAGGAACTAAAAATTACTTTAGTAATTCTGATTTCTTCTGGAATGTAAGAAAATCTGTATTTACAAAATAAGAACAGAAACCCTTGAATAAGATCAACAAGTAATCTCACTTCATTAACACTTCAATTTCTAATTTAAAATAATATTATCTTAAACATTCAGAAAAGTAGAGTAATACAATAAACACTCTGATGCTTTATGGGCGAAGGCTAACATTTGCTTCAGATTTTGCTAAGTAAAAAAAACAAAACAAAAATACATATTAGGTGAAGCCACCCACCATGTCCTTAACAATCCCAGTTTCATTTCTTCTCCAGACACAATCACACACCTAATATTGATTTATATATTATTGCATCATTTTTAAATGTTAACTAAATGTGTATATGTTCATAAATAGCACACAGCATTCATCACCTTGCATGTAAAAGTTTGACTAAGTGTTTTCTTAACATACATATACTCTGGGAGGTATTGTTCATTTAATAATATAACTTCTAGATTTAGCTACGTTGATAAATGAAGATAGCACATATTTGTCTTCACTGGTGAGCTATATTTCAAAATGGACGCAAGACAATTTATTCATTCCCCCTTTGCGTTCCTTTTGGTCCTGCTTAATTTCTGCAAAGCCATCATGTACTAAACTCCTTTCACATGTCTTCACATGTTGCATATGTGTAAGAGGATTTCCTTAGTATTCTGCCTGGAGTTGGGTGATAAATATTCATGTAACCAAATATGCTAGGCATTATGAAAATTTTCCTTTCCTACATCCTGAAAATCCTTGGTATCTTCAGACTTATTATTTAAAGTGTTGAAAATATATATTTGACATATCAGATTATTTTAGAGAATTATAGTCTTCTCACAGCTTTAATAATTACTAGAATTCATAACTATAATTTGACCATTCAGGTAATCTGACTAAACTCCTCACTACAATAACCACTCCCCCCCAAAAAAAAAATAAAAGTCAACATTGTGGCCAAGGAAATTGTGTAGATGTTAGTTTATGT